TGCCCTGTGGGTGTACTGATGTCTCATCTCTCTCTGTCTATTTACTCACACTGAACTATTTCACTGAACACATCAATGAACATGAAGAGAATCAAAAGCATTAAAGAAATGGTATTCCTTGGCATTACGTTAAGGGACCGTTAGCAGTGGTTTCATTTAGATTGGCAATGTCTGTTAGTATAAATTAAACAAGCATCAACTTTAAATATTGACAGTTTTCTTAGATGTCACACAGGCTTTCAGACACATGGCTAATATGCATTTCTTATAATGGCATTAAACTTTATTTTTATTCGAGATCCCACCATTGTCGTGTTTTTAATAAACTAATGTTATTTCCTAAAAAAATCTTCTAATTTACTGCATAATATGGAATTATATGACAATCCAGATAGCTTGTATTTTGAGAAAAGCAATATTTCTGTTCCCAGTTAATTAACTGTTAATAATAACTAGTTTGTCTGGTAAATAGCTAGCCTGTGTCAACAAAGTGTTTTATGTTCCCCAGAACTAATCTGAGACTTAAGTGCAATGGCTTTGACAAAGCCATCATTACCAAGAATAACACTCCAGTGGGGTTGAAGCTCGTTTATGATGGGGAAAAGAAGAGGACTCTACAGGTGAACAAAGAGTTGTTCAGCATTTTTACAAAGGTAGGGTTTTTTGTTTTTGTTTGTGTGTTTGTGTGTGAGGCGGGAGGGGCTGGGGGTTGCTTATGTAAATACATACACAGCCATATGTAAGTAATGCACCATCACTTTTAAAAATATGTTTTTAGAAGTATTACAAACAGGAACTGAACAGGAACACCCCCTCAAACCGGATACAAACTAAGTATAAAGTATACACCAGTATAAAAGGAGAAGCAGAAAAGCTGCATAGTAATGACAGACATGCAGTCATTTCATCCATTTCAAATTCTTTTATTTCTTTTTAAGTGTCTTAATGGTCTTGCCCCTTCTTATTTGTCTGAGCTGCTTCACCTTTACATGCCTTCACATGCTCTTACATCAGATAACCAATGCTTTTGATTGTCCCGTAGACATTTTATAAATCCAGAGGAGGCACAGCCTTTGCAGTTTTGCCTCCTAAAATGTGGAATGAGCTGCCAGGCAGGCTCCATCTCTTGCTGTTTTTAAAAATCATTTAAGAACACAGCTTTTCTCCTTGGCTTTTAACCCAGTGTGAGTTGTTATCTGTGTTTAACCTCTCGCTCTTTGTTTGTACCTGTACTGATTTATTCTTCTGTTCTTGTTATCTTATTTTTTTAAACATTTTAATTACTCTGATTCTACTGGAATTCGGTCAGCTGTTATGTTGTTTTGAAGTGTTTCAGAAATAAAGTCAAATCCAGAATGAAAGATATAAAAATATGTAAGCTACCAAACCACAAAAGCTAAGGTGATATAGTAGCATCTCAACCAGCAAAGCAACAAATTCTGATTTAGTTCAGTATCAGTTTAAATTGCCAGAAAACATGTGTGAATTGAAGAGAAAAGATTATATATAAATCCTTTTTGCTTCAAGATTTGACATCAGCAACAATGTAAATGTTTTTTTATAATGCCTTAAATGTCACTGTCTATTCCAGGAGAATCCTTTCTCAAATAAACAATGGGACACTTGTTCAGTAGTTGGGAATGGTGGGATCCTGTCTGAGAGCAGCTGTGGAAAAATGATTGATTCAGCTGACTTTGTTATCAGGTGAGAAAAGTGTCCAATGTAGACCAAATTCAGAGTGGAAATTCCACATAATTATTCCTATGTCTACTGTTTTGTTTGTTCAGGTGCAACTTACCTCCTTTGGAAAATGGATATGAGAAAGATGTTGGCAGCAAAACTAGCCTTGTGACAGCAAACCCAAGCATCTTCACACAGAGGTAAGCAAGAAAAAAAAAGTTGCTGTCACCTCACATTACTTATGAGTTGTTGCTCAAAGTCAGCTGTTTCTTTTGCACAGGTATGGCTCCCTGGTGGGACGTCGCCTTCCATTCGTGGAGAGTCTTCGCAAGTACGGCAACTCTCTGCTGCTCCTTCCTGCCTTCTCCTTTGGTATAAATACTGCTGTGTGTCAGCGAGTTGCATATACAATAGAGGACTTTAAAAGCCCTATTCTACCTGTTTTCTTTAACCCTCAGTACCTTGACAGTCTGGCTAAATTCTGGAGCTCTGAAGGCCTGAAAGAAAGGCGGCTCAGCACTGGATTAATTATGGTTAGCATGGCCCTGGAATTGTGTGAAAATGTGCATCTGTATGGATTCTGGCCCTTTAGTAATCACCCATATGGCCTCTATACCCTGACTAACCACTACTATGATGACAAACCAGCTAAAGCGAGTTTTCACGCAATGCCAGCTGAATTTAACCGCTTGTTACAGCTGCACACTGAAGGGGTACTCAGGCTTCACCTGGGAGACTGTGAATCAGATAAAAAATAGTTCCCAAATAGACAACAGCACATAAGCAAAGTGCAGAATTAAGTGCCTTCTCTATAGCCTCAGGATGAAGTTAGACGCTCAATTCATTTCATATGTGTTTGAGAAAATTTACACATTAATTTTGGTTAGTGGAAAGATGGAAAATGGCAACATAGTCACCTTCCTTACCTTCCAGCAACCAAGACATTTGCACTGATGAGTGCCTCTTTAACCCTATTTATTAAACAAATGTTCCATTTGGAGTCTGAAATGATTTTAATGTAGTTTGATGCCTCTGTAAGGCAGTTGCTCTCAGTCTAGTGCCTTATGAAAGATTGATCTCACCTTATATTCTGAAATACCTCTATTACATAAAGACGTTCGTGCTGAAAAGCTTTTTAGAAAGAAAACGAATACACTGAATGTAAGGCCTATTTTGACATTTTTTAAACTATTAACCACTTTGTATTTTAGTACCAGCTGGTAATGAATGTGTAGTGCCTGATAAACATCACACAAATGTGTGTTATGCTTCGTCACTGCAGTGACCAGACAGTGATAAAAAACTTACTGCCACAAAGTGGCAACATACATTTATTGGTAAAATGTTAGTTGTGTAAGTTCTTTTTATCTCATTGTTAATTGTAAATGTAAAAATGTAATTGTAAAATTTGCACTTAGAGAGTGAAAACCTCTGTTCAGAACAATTTCTTATGCAATATTTGTAACAGTATTTAGGTGTGTCTGATGTAGGTGGGAATGTTGCCTTTTAGGCTGGTATTTTTAAAGCATTAGCATTGATTTCTGTCATGCAGAAATGCCCCTAATAAGCCACGATGTTAAAATGACATGCCTCCTGCCATTTAGGTCCCTCTTTTGCTTCCACAAGAGACATTGGACCTTTGTGGGTATCCTCTGGTGTAACTACACATCGGCGCTGATGTGTAGTTACATATTTTGTGAGGTGCATGCCAAGTTACGTGGAGTATTATGCAGGGTTTCTTAGCATAACACTGCATTATAAAGCTGTGAATTATCACACCTGACATCTCTTGTTGTAGCAACGGCAACATATTGTGAACATTTGTATATTTTGTTTTTAACAGTATGTTATAAAAGGAAATTGAAATTCAAATGAATAAATAAATATCAAAAAGTGTGGCGCCTTTCACTTCTCTAACCAGGTGGGGAAAGATTTCTCTGGATGTCTCAGTTGGAAGATTTAGTATCTCAAGTGCTTAAAAACTTGCTGTCTTTTTGGGCATTTTTGTGGTTAGTGTATATATACATATATTTATATGCATCGTTTCCCTTTTATTATTTTTATAATCCTGTTTTGTGTTTTTAAATACAGATTTCAATAAGAAGCACAGCTAATATTAGAAAGTCCTATGACCAGCGATTGTAATTACTGTAGCAATGATGAGCATGCCATTTCTTGATAGATTTCTTGGCCTCTTCTTGGTAGATTTGAAATATATCAAAAGAAGACAACAGTTTTGCAATGTCCAGATAAAAGAAAAAGCTCTCAAGTGGCATATAAAATAGTGTAAACATATACATGACAGATTTATTCTTTATATAAATGGTAAATAATAGAGCTTAAAACCATTGGAGATACTTCCTAATAGATAGAAGATTTCATGATAGATGGCTATGCATTCAGCCTTTAGGTTACCAATGAAACATAGGACGAAATGAAAATGGTCTAATTTTTTTTTTTTTTCTTGTGTCCCCCGTTTGGATCTTTAGCCATCAGAATTGTTGTCTTAAGGCCAAGAAAGATGCCAAGCGGATTTATTTTACCAAGTGGATCATCATGGCCTTGCCATATTGGTCCATTTGATTGACCTTTATTATAATTATGTATTTATTTTATTTTATTTTCGGTTGCTACAAACGGGACAGACATGACTGGATCACCTTATGGAGAAAAAAAAACCCAGAAGAGAAAGCAAACAAAAAAGAGCAACATAATAAATACAGCACCATCACAATAAACTAGCTAGCAGTAGACAACAGTAGATACTGAATATTAAACGATATTGTGCAGCACGCAAGAAAGACAGCGCACAATGTGCTTTGAGGCAGCAGCCAAGAAAGGTGTAGTCCGCGTCTGTGAACACCCGTGTGTACACCTGTGTGGATCAGCACGCTTGTATTCCAAAGGTTTCTCCATGTAACGATCTGCTAGGGAGTGTGGGGAGCCATAGCCCCGTCCCCCAGGGCATGAAGCAGGTATGGAGGAGATCCAGGCCCCAGACATCCAGAGGCCCCAGAGTACGAGGACCCGAGGAGGACCACCAAAAGGGGGGGAACCGTGCCACTCTCCTGGGAAGAGCTGAGTAGAGCCCCAAACGAGAGGTCACCCAGCAGCTACGGAGCAGAGGCCAGAGGGGGTTGCAGTGGAAAAGTAGAAAATGGTCTAATTTGCCCAGGGACACCCTACCAGAGAAAAGTAACATACAACCTTCTCTTCTAACTATAAGGTTAAGGGAGCTTAGTCACTTAAACTGTGGTGCAGAGAGCTGGAGACACCATGGCTGAGTAGCTGTTCCTTTCATACTTATCTGAAGTTTGCCATCTGGGGTGAATGTGCAATTAGTGACAAAAACTGGCAGGCCCATGATGCCATGCACACACCCTGATAGCTGTTCCTGAAGTTAAGTCACTCTGACTCAAGTAGAGTCCAGCAGACCTGCGGACGTGGAGAGTAATGTGGAATTTATAACCAAGGCCTCAGTTATTGTATTTACTAAATGGTTGTTAAACATGTTTCACACTAAATGAAAGCATGGGTTCACAACAATTTAATTTTCTTATGCTTAAAGCTGTTACTGATGCAGACAGATAATTGATGTTTTATGATTTTAAAGTTTAGTGCATTCTATTTACAGCGTTCTCACCAGAATATGCTTTAAATAACAGTGCAGGTGGAAAAATGGGTCTCCAGGGTTCCAAACTGCATCCGAAAACATTCAAATGTCTCTCCAGTACAATACTCTCTCAAAATAGGCACATTCACCACACTCCAGGAAGGAGAAGCCAGGGAAGGTCTGTGCAGAGGGAGAAGACAATGTCGGATCCTTTGAGGCAAACACACACGAGCAAAATACAAGCTAGGAGCCAGTGCTTAACTAACAAGGTAGTTCAACAATCCAGTAATGAATGATTACCTTAAGTAATGGCTGATGATGAGATCAGAGGCCAGAGGGGGTTGATTATCTTCAGGTGTGTAGACTCAAGGGTAGGAACACGAATGAGTACTGCCTCACAGCACAGACAGACAACAAACAATAACAGACAGAAGAGAGGAGAGAGAAACAGAAGCCTAGAGAGAGACAAAACAAACCCTGATATGTCAGCCAGGTAGGACTGAGGGATCATGACAATGTATGATTCTCTCAGAGAGGTGCATTTTTGATTACCTTAAAGAACGGCATGTCTAATAAATTGATCTGATAGTAGATTTCTTAAATTATTATTGGTCAAATATTTTAGAAAATACAACTTCCCACCTCATGCATGAAATCACAATCCTAATTCAACCCCATCACGGACACTTTGAAACCTGTGGGATCTTATTTTGAAAATTTTATTGTATTCTATTGTACAGTATCGTACTTCCACCCTTATGAGATACTGGTGTCCAGGTTCCCGTAGTCTGTAATGGAGCTGCTGTCTGAGGCGCTGTCAGAGTGTACTGAGTGCGTTGGCATGCCAAGTTGTAGCCTGTAATGAGGGGAAACCACACACTACGCCTGGATATTTAATTAGACAGACTGCTAGCAAAGTATTTGTTGCTCTAAATCTTACATGGCACACTCCACTTTTTTGTTCAGAAACAATAATATAATAACAAGACATTTTCCCTGTTATTGCACTTGTGTCTTTTTAAAATCAAGTGTACACATTATTAATGGAAAATAAATGTTTTCTTGTACTTCTTTTCTAGCTCACTAACTTTGTCTTTGAGAAAATCCTAACTGAAGGTACAGATGATGTAATAAGTTCCAGATGTTTCTTGGCAAGATTGCTTAGAGAAGGGAATGTTGGCTCATTTTTGCAAGACATAAACCTGAAGTAGAATAGTCATCTTTAACTCTGGGAATGGGACCTTTTTATTTATTTATATTTTTCTTTTTAGATTTCCACCTGAATATGTATGTTACGCTAAAATCCTCTTGACAATTCTGGAAAACAAAACCAGCGTGGGTTAGCTGCCAGTAAAATTATGCCATGATGTCAATTTTTGTAAAACGATATAACTGATGTGCATGATATTGTTATGAAGGAAGTCTGTTTAACATTAAATGAATTCGCTTAATAAAGATCAGGTTATTAAAATGCTCGTCTCCTGTTGATGTGTCATGTTGTGGTGTCCTGCATGGTGTCGATCAGCAGAATCTGCTGATGTGCAATTGAATTACCTGCTACTGAAGGTGGAAAACAAATCATCCTACACTGTGACTTTGTTTGGTCTTATGTGAAACCTACAAATATTTAATCAAATCCAACATGTGACATCCTGACACAAAGTTATTCTGATAGATCAGGGGTGGGGGAACTCCAGGCCCTGAGGGCCGGTGTCCTGCAGGTTCGAGATATCACCCTGGGTCAACACACCTGAATCAAATGAGTAGTTCATTACAAGGCCTCTGGGAAATTTCAAGACATGTTGAGGAGGTCATTTATCCATTTAAATCAGCTGTGTTGGATCAAGGACACATCTAAAACCTGCAGGACACTGGCCCTTGAGGCCTGACGTTCCCCACCCCTGTGATAGATGAATTCAACATCTGCATCCCGCCCACTATAGTCTAATAAGTTTGGAATAATGCTGTCTTTTTTTCCCCCTTAAAACAAGGGTTTCCTTTAGGACAAGATTTTCCTCCTCATTTTCTCCACTTTTCTTGTTTCAGGCTCTTTGGGAAGAGTAAGAGTTCTTTCTCTTGCTAAGCTTCTATTTATTTTTATTATTTTTGAAGATAAGCCTTTCAACATGCCTTTAAAGTATATTATCTTTCTGCTCTTCCAAAAGTCTCTTATTTGCAACTCTAAAGTAATTCAAGAATCTTTGTTGTTTGTAATACAGTTAATTTATCCAATCAACATTTTAATAATAGTTAGCTACCAGAATATGGATTAAAACCCTGCAGCTATCTGGTTATGTGCTTTAAACTCATCTGGGA